CGCCACCGGACGGACGCCCGCCACCGGACACCCGCCAAGCCAGATGGTGGCAGCTGCAGCCGTTGCAAAAGTCATAGGTGTACTGCGTTCGTGGATGGTATCTCGCTGTCAACGCTTCCATCAAGGTCGACACATACTCAGCATTGTGAAGGTCGACATACACTACGGACTTTCGCTGGGAACATTGTACAACGTATATTACACATACAAATAGATTCGGAAACCTTTTCCGACATGTCACTTTCATTACTCCTCCTGCATGTCTTCTAACCCACGAAACTCGGTAAATCCGCGGGCAAAATAGTCTGAATCCTCCATCACCGGGTGCGGGGCAACCCGCGCATACCAGTCACTCTGTTCCCGCTCACTGCCCTCCAAAACTGATTCCCAGAAGCCTATTTCGGCCGAAATATAGTCCTCCATGATCCATATTGCGTCATCAGGGCATCATGATGTGTCTAAATACTGGACCTTTTCCGCCGGATCCAACACCTTCGTGAGCTCGCCATTTGCAAGTTGTCTGTACTGCCCGGGTGGACTGGCCGGAATTGGCATGACCATGGGCGGCAGTAGGCGTAGGTTCAGCTTATTGATGTAATGTGCGATTCCTAGGGGTCGCGATGTGAGTCCGAGCGCAAGTGAATGCAGCCCGATACATACGTCCTGTTGCTCTCTGATGTGCCTGCGTTCGAGTGACATACGCTTTCGTCCTCCTGGTGATCTCCGCATCGAGCAAGGCCTCGACGGCCTCCACTCGAGTGGCCTCGGTGTCGAATGGTCCCTCATTTCCATGCGAAATGCAGAAAGGGAAACTTGTCAGGCGGGATGAGCAGTTCCTTCTTCACCAGTTAGGGTGGGTCGGTGAAATGCACAAGCCAGCGGGACATACCATCATCCAATCCATGCTTCCGGGTCATCGGAGGCACTCCCCGTGTGCCTTGACTTCCCTCTGGCTCCATCGATACATCTTCAGGACCACCACGTCTTCAAGCGCTCTAGTGCTGCAGCCCCAGATTGTTCCGGGGCATCGAGGACTCCCAAAACCGGGCCATGGCGTCCGTAATGCCTAACACCATCAGCGTGTCTTCATTGGACAGGCGCTGGAACCTGTGATCATCGCTGCCATACACTGCCAAACACAGTGTCAGTGCGTTACAGCAAATGGAAACAAAGGTTAATACAATACCATTGATTTGAGGAGCACGCGATCCTCTGCGGCAGTGCTCCCGTGGGCCCCGGTTGACTGAGCCGCTGCTTGCGCCGCAGCAACCGCATTGTCATGAAACACGGCCTCAAATTCTTGGGCGGTTGGGAAGGTCATCGTGTAGAGGGTAGGAAGGACAGAGAAGCCAAGTTGCTCGCGAGATCAAAGTAGAGAGCAAGGAGCACTACTGATCCACGACGTCTGATTAGCACTCCCCGGTTCGGGTATTCTTTCCCACGCAGCCACTGGTGTGAGATGACAGGCGTCAAAATGATGCGCGTTTATCGATGTGGGCAATGTGTGATGCCCGGTGGCGGTGCTCATCCAACTACAGGGGGAAGGGCTGCAATGTAGCGGCGACGACGTTTGACGACGTCTCATGGCTGTGGCTTACCACGCGTCCGTCCCCCAACACCCACCGACGGACACCCGCCACCGGACAACCGCCACCGGACACCCGCCGCCGGACGCCCGCTGTCGGACACCGGACGCCGGACAGATGGAAATCTTGGTGGACTTTCTGCATACCCTCATGACCTGGCATCGGTTGCACTCTGAAGCGGTGGTACAACTGCTGAAGCGGTTCTGCGTAAACATCCATTCGTTAACTTGAAATGATACATTGACTGTCTACGCTGGGAGGATGACTTCCGGCGGCGCGTTCTGGAGGTTATCGAGCTTCTCCCGGTACGCACGGGCGTAGGCAATGGAGTTGAGACGGCACTTGTCTGCCCGCTCATTGATATACTTTCGGAATTCGAGCCCGTAGATGCTCGTCCAGTATCCGCGACCGGAGTGAAAGCCGCCAATGTACTCCCATGCGCATTGGGCGTTGCGGCGGCTAGGGCGCAACCATGCTGTGTAAGTCCCGATGATCGCTAGCCCCCACGGCAGCTCATGCTTCGTGAGGTCCACATGAGCGACGACTCGCGCCATGTACGATTGCAGCTGTTTCAATATAGCGATCCGGTCGTCGATTGTCGGAATCACCTCGTCGGGACGCAGCGACCTGACTTCAACAACGAGGCGTGGCACCTCCCGCTCCAGCTCCTGACCCCCTGGCTCTTTGAGGCCGTAGTACGAACTGATGAGGAAGTCGGGGTACTTCGTGCCAGACTTCGTGCGCGAGTACACAATCCCTCCTGTCAATAATCAGTTGCGGTTGCGTCCGGAAGCCCTGCAGAAATCGTACATACCGTCCCAGTCGACACTAGTCGGGGGCCGCCCAGCCAGCGCTTGACCGGCGGCCGCTTGCTCGTCATTTCCACGCCCGCCCGGCACCGCGTCAAGGATATGCTGTCCGGGGACAGACGGGCGGAGCGGCTCTTGTGGCTTGATCAAGGTACGGGGGAATCACAAGGTAAAGTACCTTGTCCACGCGCCATACTGGGAAAATTGCGTGGAGGCCGGCTTCAAATGCCAGTGGTGGACCATTTCGCGGAGTTGGTCGTCCACATCGGGGTGACCGTCGAAAGAAAACTGGACATAGTAAGTGTCCTTCGCGTGCACGATCGAAGCGGCCCGGCGTACCATGTTTCCAATGTTAGCCTGTCCGACCACAGCGGTGAGACTTGCGCTGCTGAGATCCGTGGCGGCGCTGTGCGCCCTTTTATACACCAAGCACATCACACGTCGGAATGCCTTGCTTGCTAATGTGCCGCTGTTGAGTGCGGTCACAAGGGCCACATCGGAGGCATGCCTGCTGCCCAATCAAGGGGCGTGCATTGTGTCGTGGAACACGACCCGACGTCGCATGCTTATCCACTGTCCACAGAAGCCCGGATATGTCTTCCGTAGAAGAGTACTGGGTGATACACAGCTGATGCCCCGTCCGGACTGCATTGAGATAGCAATTTGCGCTGCAACCCACATGTGCAGCGCACTCATGGGACCCGCAATACATGCTGCGATAGTAGCAGCTACAATCAAGGCAATGACACCGGCCTTCTCGGGGTGCTTTCCAGCCACGGAGTTAGTGCGGACAACAATATACAGAACGTGTGTAAATATATTTGGGTATGTTCCGTCCGCGACATGGGACCACTTTGTTCTCACACCTTAAGTTTGTTTGACATCCGGCAGGAAACACTCACCGGCACATGTACCATGATAGCGGCACACGGGAGAAGTCCATATCGTGGGTATTATTCACGTGACTGACTTAGTAACACAACCATCATGACATAGCACTGGAGTCTATTGGATCTACAATCCGTGCCCCCACAAGCTGCAGCCACAAAGTACAAGGTGAGTGTAAGTGCCTGTGACATGTCCTACAGTTGTCTGATGCACCTCCACAGCATGGTTGGCGTCATCTCTGGGTACATACTGCCGGTGGAGAGCCTGCACTGGTTCTGCCGGTGCTGGGTCGGTCCCTTTGTGCCCGAGGAAATTCCGGAGGTCGAGGGGCCTCGCGAATTCAATGCATTCGTGAACGACATACTGTGCATGATCGACTGGATTCGGGGTCTGGAGAGGAGCAAGCTCGTGCCTCCTGTGAGCTGTGAGTACCATCCCCAAGCACACGGGCTCCATTACTGAGCCCCCCTCAAAACAGGGCTTCTCCCGGACCGGGGCGAAACTGCCGTCATCGTCACGGGATACGAGGATCAGAAGAAGGGGGTCTCCCGGATCCCGGAAGACGACAGGCAGGTTCGCGCGCGCGACTGGTTTGTGAAACACGCGAATCTGGTGGCCGGGGAAAACATCTTTGTGAGCGACAACTTGCAATATTTTTGCACCGCGGAAGAGAACCTGGAGCTTCCCCTCGCACTGTGAGTGAGCGATGTGACCGCTTGGTCCGCGAGCTGATCAAGAATGCACAGGTGCTTCGATCCGCCGCCGCAGACAGGCAAGGAGAAGGCCGCTGAACCGGTACAGCCCCGGTACAATTTTCATCCTCGCAACCCGTCCCGGGAGCCAACTCCCCTGTCTTGATCTGTAGTTAGCCGTCCGAACTTGTGCCTAGTTTACGCGGTGTACGATATCATATGTAGGGGTTGAAATCGCATGATTGTCTCTCGATTAGTACTGGGCTGATTCCGCCAGCGGGACCACATGCAGCGGGCGGATGTGTGTTGTCACTTTCAGCTAATGCCCGGCCGGTGGCACTCATCCGGCGGCGGGCGTCCGGTGGCGGGCGTCCGGTCCCACATAATCTGTATTGTACGCACAGTACAAAGACAAGGCAATACATTCGTTATTCTCATTCTTCGCCGACGGAAACAAGCCATTCAATGCAATAACACTCCCACCATCATTTCTACCAAACCCTCCCACTAGTGCCGGGGCTTCTTGGCGGCACGTTGCCCCTTCGTCGGAGACACGGGCTCGCCCTTGCGGCCGCGCTTCCGGATCCCCGTGCCAATGGCAGATGCATCCGACCCGGTACCTGGAGGATTCATGAGCCGCTTCGACCGCTTTGGAACTTCCTCCCACTCTTTCGCCAGTGACTTGCAAGCATACAGGAGGTGATCCTTGACGAACGCGTGATCATGCAGAGTGTTAAGTACGTGATCTGGTAAGTTATACTTATCACGGTTGCTCGACAATGACTTTTCTAAGTCATGCAGCAGCATTCCGATTGTTAGAGCGAGGGTTTGCGCTTCAACCATGCTGATTGTCGTTCCCTTCATGCTCGTCGTTATCTTGCTCAGCCATGATTTGAAAGATCGAATTTCGGCAGCGTTGTCGTGGGCAGCGGGCGGGCAATGACTCTTCCGGTAAGACCACATGCCCCATTCCCAAGTCTTTGATGTACGCCATGACCCGGCTTGTGACTAACAGGACGCTCCCAGTCAGCAGGTACTATCCATCCACATGACGAGCGGCCTTCATCAGGAAAAACCCATATTACTTATTGAAGCTATTCGGAACACAACACTTCTTTACAGTGGTTACGTACTTCACTAAGAGGCTTATGGTAACTTAAGACGAATGTAGAGTGTTTAGATGACCTCAGTTACCTGTTGGTATACGCTAACACTAAATTTCTCTTAGCTTAAGACATCTAATGTGAGGTGGTGACCGTTTGAGAGACCATCAGGGAAAAGAAGTTTACAGGCTTGTTTGGCCAGGCGAGTCTTTAACAGAATATATTCACTGAATCTTGACTGTAGCGAAGAAATCAGGCAAACCGCTGCTTTGTACAACACCGGAGCCTCAGTCGTCAAGCAAAACTCCTGCTGCCACTACGCCCGGCAAGGCAACTACAAGCGCGACGTCTGGCGCGACGTCTGGCAAGGCAAAGCCCACTGGCAGGCCGACTTCTGGCAAGCCTCAGAGCCCGGGGAAGCCTACGAGCGCCGCTAAACCTGGCAGTGCGAAGCCTACGAGCTCCGGTAAACCGGCCAGTACGAGGGCTACAAGCTCCGGCAAACCGGCGAATGCTGGTGGTAAGCCAGCGGGTGTCAGGAAGGTACCGGCGGCAGTCATCGCTGAGACGTCCGACGTCGAGGGTGGTGACGGCAACGGCTCCGAGGGGGCCAACTTGGGTGATGGCGAGGGGGCTGGCACAGGCGCAGGCGGAGACACTGGCAGCGAGAGCGGCGTCGATCCCGACGCTGAGAGACGCGGCGAAGACGAAGACATTGAGAATCACGTCGAGCCTCACACGGGCCAATCGATGGATAATCGTCGATACGCCTGCTGGCGCAGGCACTGGGAGCGGAAACGGCGATGCGAGTACAGTCGCACCTGGGATTCGTGAGTCTATGCAATTTGTCCAAGGTAACAGTCAACGTCGGCTTGGTTGTCGAGTACGACGCGGTCAGTACATCCGGCGGTTCGGATGTACTGTGCCTCGTCGGCTGCTCGACAACTCGCCTGCTTGACTTGGAACTTGATGCAGTACACACGCACGAGGTTGATCCCTCGTACGTGTGACGAGTATTCGCCGCGAGTATACTACATGTATCGACCCGACCTAGACATGTTGAGGTCAGGCTTGCGTTCACGCGAGTCTTCGCCATCGGGACGGCCTGCAATGGACACCGGGTCCTTGCGGGTCCGTGCGCCAGTTCATATGTCCGGTTTCGACGGAGTGTGCTCACGCAGGCTAACAGAGGACGCAGCGAGGTCAGTGCTCATTGTACCATGTGTCGGTGTGGGCGGCGGACGCGAAGAGGTCGAGGCTGGAGTCGAAAGGATTGCGGCGAGCACGCTAGAATGTGCGTCGCACGTGTCCCAAAGATCAGCTACGTGTACGTCGGTGGTGGGCTCGACGTACGTTTAACGCGACACGGTGTAGAGAATGAAGAAGACGACCAGGTAGAACTATTACGTTCTCCCAGTGCGTCACTGCACCACGTAGAGGTGTGGTGGATGGCGGCGAGCACGGACCGGTGCGCGTCGCGCATCACAAGAGAAAGCAAAGGGGGATACATCGAGCGACGAGCTCGATGTATCCGCCGCTTGCAGTGGTAGAGGTAAACAGGAAGGCCGCCTGGTGGAGCTTGGAGGCTCCCCAGACGCGCCGTTTCGCGAGCAGACGCTATGGCCGCACTGCCGGATGGGCTCAATACCTCGCTGTGAATGTTAGAGAAGCACGCAACGAACCCATTGTTCGTTGGGCTGCCTCCCAACGCTTGTCCTGTAGCCATTGAAGTTCGAACCGGGTCCACCATCATGGAGTGCACCCCGGTACCGTCGCGCGCGCATGAGGGGTCGACGAGAGCGCCGGGTACGTTTGTGAGTACACCGGGTGCTGTGTTGTTCTCTTCGATAGTGTGTAGGTCAAGCATACTGCTCGACACACCCTCTGTGCGGCTGTTTGTAGAAGAATGGCGCACGTCAGATGTGCAGCGTTGCGCCACAGACGTGTTGCCCTGCGGCATGTCCAGTACGACGTATAAGTCGTCCCGGAAGGCGATAACGCCGCTCCTGTGGTCAGGACAGCATACACACGGGCTTCGTACTCGTTCCCTGCTGGCGCGGGCAGTAAAAAGGAAAAGGGCACGCCGGACGCACAGCTCTGTGCGTCATGTGCTGTGCAAGGTAGTGGGTACGACATGGAGGGCGTCCCGAGAGACAGGCATGCCGTATTCGTGGCCAGCAGGACGCATGACGAGCTTCGCGTTCGTCGATACGCCTGCTGGCGCGGGCACTGGGAGCGGAAACAGCGATGCGGGGACGACCAGTGAGGCCTAGTGAGGGCGTACCTGCAGTTTTCGAGCCTTCGTGCTCGTTTTCCCTGCACGCCCGACACCATTCCCCCTCCTCTCTCTTCCTCCCCTTCTCCTATTCCTCCTTCTGCTTCACTCGCGCCACGTTCTCTGCATTGAGTGCAACCTTGATGTTCGACGCTGGACTTGCACTCGCGTCGTGCGAGTGCTGGGCTGCGCGGCTTTGTTGCATGTCACCAGGGCCGTGGAAATCTGGTTTGAGGTCGCCGGATCCGAGAGAGGAAGCAGTAGAATCGAATGGAGGGGTCTCGGGTGGAAGTTGAGGCCCAGGAGAGGAAGGAGATGGCGGTCTTGTACCGCGCGCAGGGTTGTCCGGCGCTTGGGCGGCAGTTTAGCTAAGTACTTGTAAGTACTTAATTCTCCTTGTCGGGCTTGTAATCCAGATCCGAACGCCTCTGCACGATACTGCATCCCAAGAGTTGTACGCGTCTCGCAACACAGTCTGTACCTTGCTCGAACAACAACTTGTGCAAAGCCGCACCCGGTTGGTCAATTTTTTTCGTCTCGCATCCTTCCCTCTTACAGATACCTGTCATACAGGGTATGCAAACCAAGAACAGCCCTTGCCCCGAAGACAAGGATGTCCAATACGTCGGGTTCCACCGCGTAGACATCGGGAAGAGCTTGGTCCACCAGGCCAAGCTCGACGAAGACGGTCTGGTTTATTGCGGGTATCTCAACACTAAGGACTACTCTGATCGCTCTCCGCCGCCACACGTCAAGAAACGGGTCGTCATTGACCTCGTCTCTTCGGACGACGAAGACAAGTCAGAGCAAGCCCTGACTACTGCGTCCAGTTTGTCTTCGGCCAAGCAGGGCAAGAGAAAGAGCACTAGAAAATCTAAGAAAGTGAGTATGTTTGCTCATCATGGACACGAATTAAGCAGCGGTGCTAAGTCGTACTCTGCCAGAAGCCTGTCAACAAGCCTAAGGGATCTCACCAGCCTCCGTCCAGTTCTCGCTCTTCAGGGTCTACCAAACGGTCCGCTCCAGCTGACCTAACGACCCCCAAGATCAAGAAAAGACAGTGCAAGGATGAAGAGCGATCGCGCAACCAGAGCGCTGAACGCTCATCATCGCCCTCCACCACAGCGTAACGGAGGTGCTTGCAAGGGCTAGGAGCGCGGTGACAAGCGGCGTGTGATGGTGCAGGATCGTAGGATGTATATTCTTCGTAAAAACAGTCTACTACAGATAAACAACTGGCCCTTCGTCGGCTGCGTTTGCACGCGGGGCATTTGCCCCGCGTGCTCGCCGTCGACGTGTGGACACGCCTGCACGCCGGCCCCCTCTCGTCTGCTTATCTGCCCGCCTGCTCGTCCATCCGCTCGTCTGCCCTCTCTCCTGCCCGTCCGCCCGCCTACGCACCCTCGCACTTGCCCGCCCATCCGCTCGCGATACCGCTTGCCTGCCCGGTCTCCCGCCCGCGTACGTGCCTGCGTCTGCGTTCGCCCACCGCGTCTGCGTACTGCGCATTAGCCCAGCGCACTCGCAGTGAGTGTGCGGTATCACCTGCCTGTCACGTCGTCCGCCGGTCTGCCCACCCGCCCACTCGTCTTCTCGTCAGCTCATCGAGCTCGTTGCCCGCACCTGCAGTCCTCACCGTCCTCCTCGCGGTCATGAGCTCGCACGAGTCCCGTTCGTCGGCTGCGCTTGCATGCAGGGCATTCGCCCTGGACGCTCGCGGTCGACGTGCATGGCGTTCCCTGTTCGTGGGTCCGCCCGCCGCCGTTTGCCTGCGTGTTCGTCGGCCGTGTACGCGCTCTCGCGGTGGGCGTGTGGTGTCGCCTGCTGTAATGTCGTCTGCCGGTCCGCCCACCTGCCCGATCACCTTCTTGTCAGCTCATCCGCTCATCTGTTTGCTTGCTCACGCACCGCCCGCCTGCACGCCGACCCCCTCTCGTCTGCTTATCTGCCCGCCTGCTCGTCCATCCGCTCGTCTGCCCTCTCTCCTGCCCGTCCGCCCGCCTACGCACCCTCGCACTTGCCCGCCATCCGCTCGCGATACCGCTTGCCTGCCCGGTCTCCCGCCCGCGTACGTGCCTGCGTCTGCGTTCGCCCACCGCGTCTGCGTACTGCGCATTAGCCCAGCGCACTCGCAGTGAGTGTGCGGTATCACCTGCCTGTCACGTCGTCCGCCGGTCTGCCCACCCGCCCACTCGTCTTCTCGTCAGCTCATCGAGCTCGTTGCCCGCACCTGCAGTCCTCACCGTCCTCCTCGCGGTCATGAGCTCGCACGAGTCCCGTTCGTCGGCTGCGCTTGCATGCAGGGCATTCGCCCTGGACGCTCGCGGTCGACGTGCATGGCGTTCCCTGTTCGTGGGTCCGCCCGCCCGCCGTTTGCCTGCGTGTTCGTCGGCCGTGTACGCACTCTCGCGGTGGGCGTGTGGTGTCGCCTGCTGTAATGTCGTCTGCCGGTCCGCCCACCTGCCCGATCACCTTCTTGTCAGCTCATCCGCTCATCTGTTTGCTTGCTCACGCACCGCCCGCCTGCACGCCGACCCCCTCTCGTCTGCTTATCTGCCCGCCTGCTCGTCCATCCGCTCGTCTGCCCTCTCTCCTGCCCGTCCGCCCGCCTACGCACCCTCGCACTTGCCCGCCCATCCGCTCGCGATACCGCTTGCCTGCCCGGTCTCCCGCCCGCGTACGTGCCTGCGTCTGCGTTCGCCCACCGCGTCTGCGTACTGCGCATTAGCCCAGCGCACTCGCAGTGAGTGTGCGGTATCACCTGCCTGTCACGTCGTCCGCCGGTCTGCCCACCCGCCCACTCGTCTTCTCGTCAGCTCATCGAGCTCGTTGCCCGCACCTGCAGTCCTCACCGTCCTCCTCGCGGTCATGAGCTCGCACGCGTCCCGTTCGTCGGCTGCGCTTGCATGCAGGGCATTCGCCCTGGACGCTCGCGGTCGACGTGCATGGCGTTCCCTGTTCGTGGGTCCGCCCGCCCGCCGTTTGCCTGCGTGTTCGTCGGCCGTTTACGCACGCTCGCGGTGGGTGTGTGGTGTCGCCTGCTGTAATGTCGTCTGCCGGTCCGCCCACCTGCCCGCTCACCTTCTTGTCAGCTCATCCGCTCATCTGTTTGTTTGTTCACTTACCCGCTCGCGCCGTCCACTCGCCCGTTTGGGCGCCCGCTCAGCAGCCCTCACACCCGCTCGGCCGCCCGCTCGTGTGCCCGGTCGCCTTCTTGCCCACCTACCCGCTTGCTTGCGTGCGGGTGGCTGTGGTCGGGGGCGAGGTGGACCGGATGCGCTAGGTTCTCCTCGGGGTGTGAGTTAAAGGAGACCATGCTGGCTGCAGACTAGCGGTGGACATTCAGCACAGAGAGGAGCGCGATGCGGCGGAACAGGAGGTGGGAGGCATCGGTGTTGAAGGTCGCGACCATCAAGAGCAAGTACTGAGCGCTGAGCGCTGAGCCACCGATGAATCGCGGCCCGGGCGCGCGTCCTGGATCCGGCTACTTAGAAGTTCTGTATAAATCATTACCTTCGTCCACACGACTTGTACTATTCCGATAGCACGCCTGGCTACGTACTATGTATCGTAGGGTTCTGTTGACATAGGATAATAATTAAATTCTGTTGTGTGAAACCGCTGCACTTGAATCGTAACTCGCAATGCACAAGCTCAATACAAGTGAGCGTAGGATTGTGAGCCTCAGCTTAGGCGTATATGAAGTTATGTATGAGTACCAAGTAACAACTGTTCTACGTACAAGCACTATTACCAGAGGGTTTGGTAAGCATATTTAGTAGCCCAATTATTGAGTAGGAACTTCGTAGCTTTATCCAGTACCGTATGTGAATCCCAGTCGACAGGTATGTGCTCAGGCTTGCCACCTATTGAACCAGGAAAACTCGGAATGAGTTGGCATGACTGCCGTATTGTACTAACTGGTACTATCTCCCCTAGCGGCAAGCCATTGGATCTGAGCGGTGCCTTATGTACAGAATACATCAAGTGAACGGGGTCGGCACTGTGCGCCAAGTTCGAAAACCACTCAACGTAGGCTAACGGCCCTTGCCGCGCCCAATCTGCTGGAGCTTGTAGGGGGCGCAGCGTTCTCGGGTCTCGTATGTCCGTAGGTAGTTTGAATATGACCTTGATGCGTCCCACCCGAGTTCCTAAAGGTAGAGTGAGTTTATTGTCAGCGTGATGAGTAAGATTGAAGGCGTACCCTGCAAGCCCGTGGCTTCTGCGTCGTTGTCCCGGAGGATGATTGCAGTATCAAAGCGGCTAGGCTGCGTTGCTGTAGACGGTTTCGCCTTGATCGCGTCCGTCTCTGCAGCGTCAGAGAGAGACGCAGGCGCGAATTTGAAGCCGTGAAAAACATCTACGTTGCGAAACGGCATGTTGGAGACAGCATCCGGTAGCTGGGCGTTGGTGAGCGGACGTCCATTCTTGAGAGCATAGATATATTGAGCGAGAGCATGTGTGAAACCAGGGGCATTGTGTCTGTCAGCGATTTGGTTGAGGGCCTGAAGGGGGACTGTAGGGTACTTGGGTAGCTTGATGCGAGCGTTGTGTGTAGATGGCCTGTCGAAGTCCGAGGCATCCGGGTCTGAGTCATCTGAAGCCTCAGACGAGTCGAAGGGCAGTCGGCGTCGAACAGATGAGCTAAGCATCACCATCTTCTCCTGGCGTGCCAGCCAACGCACCATCTGCGGTCGAGCGTTACGATGATTCGACGCTCTCCATCCATTCTTCGCATAGTCGATGTGCAGCCGTTCGAAGGCCTCGGTGTTGTAGTTGTCTGTAGTACCTAGCATTCGGATGCATTCGACGTAGTGGAGCAAAGAATGGAATTTAGGGATGTTCAAATGGTCACGTACGCCAATATCCACTAGGACGTGCTTGTGCTTGTGGAAAGTCTTCAGGGCATCCTCCATATACTGGAGGGTCGTGTCGTCATGCGTGGGGTATTGCGATAAGTAGATGAAGTCGAGGAGGGCTCTGAAGGCCAGGATGACGTCCTTGGGTAGTTTTCCTACCAAGCACCCTAGCAGGATGCTAGCCATGTGCTTGCGCTCGGAACCGGAGACTTGAGACAGCGCCGAAATGCCATTCTTGAAATGGCGAGTGCCGAATGAAGGCGGAAGGCAGCGGATGCGGTGGTCGAGCTCGCGCTCGTCGACGAGCTCTGTACACCACTCGACGACGTGCTTGAACACGCCTTGGTAGAGCTGGTGAAGCACATCAGACGTGATACACGCGTTGATGTCGGTATAGGGGAGATCGCGCCAGAACGGACGCACGATATAACCCGACACGTTGAGTTCGTTGCAAGCCCGCACGTAGGCCGGAGAGTCTTTGTTACCGCTGGATTGCTCACTTGCACGGCGCAGGACATCCAGGGTCCACATTGAAGTGCGAGGTGTGCCTGGAGACGGAGAATCGAGGAGTTCTTCGGGATGCTGACACTTCGGACAGGTGCCGTATTTCGAGCATGCCACTAGGCATTGCTCAGGGTAATCAGCAACGTACGCGGCGAGTATAGGGTGCACTCGCCGAACCGCGCCGTCACCTCCAGTAACGTCGATCCCGGTCTTGCCTGCCTCAATCAAAGGCTCGAGGATAAGGCGCACGGATTCATGGAAAAGCTGCTGCGCGAGGGCGCGCTGTTTGCGCTTAGTGATTCCCTCAGAGCTGATCTTGTCCACGGACAAGTATCCTATGAGGATGCATGCGTGCTCAGAGGGTTTGCGTCTCAGGGCGCGAGGGAGGTTGCCTAGTGTGAGATAAACGGGGTAGGCTGATTTGTTGCCAGAGAATTGTGTTAATTGTGTCTTGTCGGTAGCAATGATGACGGGTGCTACTGCGCTGCCGGAGGGTAGTAGACTCTGCAAATTATTTAGTTCTAGTCCGAATAGATGGGTCATTTACTCACCTGGACAGCATGCCACCAGCGTCCTGTCCACATTTCGTTGTAGATACGGTGGGTGCGAGATGCGTCTGAAAAAATTCGTTGTAGATACGGTGGGTGCGAGATGCGTCTGAAAAAATTCGTCGAGGTCGATAGACTATCTGACCGACGTGCTCAGGGTTGCCCAGGAGGGTCCGAATGGCTTGAATGATATCTCGGTATTGGACGAGATGCTTCTCCTTTGGACGGTCTTTGAAGGTGAGCCACCGTTCGTGCCATTCGGCCCTCTCGGGCAAAGAGTCCACGCGTTGAAGTAATGATCGACTATTGTGATATGACAGCCCTAGCTTCTCTCGAAACTACAATCGCAAGCACGTAAGTAATGTAGCACAAAGACATGAAGCAGATACGCAAACTCACACCCGGTATTTCCAAGGCCCTATCTATGGAGCCTTGGCTCAGCCCTTCCTGAACAGCCCAGGAAGCAAACCGCCAATCCATTTCTGACTCGAAGGGCTCCCAGGGGTTAGACTCCGACTCAGCATCCGGGTCGCCTGCCGCGTAGTCTTTTAATAAGCAATGGATTATTCATCAAATTCATGGAACGTACCGGCTTGAACATCCGGTCCGCCTGCTCTCGAGTTCAGCCATTCTCTGCGCACCTCTTCGTCTGTGTAAGCTACCGTTCCTGCCTCCATATTTTCCACCACCACCCTTGTATCCTCGTTGTCGTCTAGCGATCTACCTGCTCGATGCGGTGTTGACTGTCTCGACGTAGAACTTGATGCTTCGCCTGCTCGCACTGGGTCCGGTGGCTTTGGCGCACAGACTTCCAAGAAGTCATAAACTGAAGACAAACCATCGTCTTCTTCAGGCACGCTGGGAGTTGACATAGACCGCGACCGCCTGCCGCTACCGGATCCAGAGGCTATTTGATTGCTTGCATAGTCACTTCTGCCACCAGAACTGATTGAATAAAATGAGCGTCATAATTCTTCTTCATCTGTAGAAGAGAGAATTCCGCACCTTCCCTCAACAGCTGGTACGTCTTCACCTTCGTCTCCCCTGGCGTCCGGAAACCTGAATGCCTCTTTCAATTTTCCGCGTTTGTACCATGCGCATTGCTGGCTTGACGACTGGTGGGCCATGAGGCTTTTCGTGGACTTGAACGGCCTATTGCAAGCACCACAAGTGTCGCCGAGGAGCTCTTCGATTGTTCTCTTCTTGCCCATGATGCTGATATGAGAACTGCGCGGTCGATTTAATACAGCAAGGCGGAGGATGAGGCAAGCACTCACAGGGACACGCAGAGGAGGCTTTTTTTCGGGGAGGGGCGAAGAAAAACCGGCCATCTTAATTGAACTTGTACTAACTGTCAAGCAGTTGACGCTCGAGCGGGCGCGGGAATATACGCGCGTACGGAAGCAATCCTGGCCCTGCTGGGCGCTCTGCAGCGTTCCTCTTGTCTTCAACCTAGTAAGGCCCCTTGAGAGAGAAAAAGGTACCCTCTGCGCACTGCGGCGAGCTGTGAGTCTTCCTTAACGGTTATTGCGCTGCTGATCAGACACCCTTGCTCTGCCAGATCACACGGTTATATCTGGGCAAATTCCTGTGCATCGAACGTGGATATTAGAGCGGTGAGTCCTTTATAATCGACTGGCAGGCAGTTGCCTGCCATGCGTTCCGACGCCCTCGTACTACCCGGCGGCATAAAACCAGCGATGCGATCTGATGCCGTAGCGCGAGAAAATCGCCGCGGCGCTACAGCTATCCCACGCTCGCGCCGGCCCTGGCTGCAAGCGATTAGAGGTGGCGGGCGTACGTATGTACGTACGTTCAGATGACGTTCGAGCATATCGCGGCGCAGAGAGAGTACGCGGAACGTGGTGGCTTCCGGCGGTGGCACGGTGGGTGTCCCAGACCAGTGGCGGACAGCTCGGCATGCTAGAGGTACGGAATAGGGGGCTGCGTACTGCAGAACAAGAGGACTTCGGCCTCCGTACCGTAGTCACGAGGGTCCGCCATGAGTCAGCAACCAGGCAGCCAGGGTTCGCCCAAACTTTGGCAGTCTGCCTTTGTAGGCCCCCTGTAGCCATCGATGTCTACATCTCACTTTGTACTGCAGCGTGCGCCGTCTGCTCGTCCCTCCCCTTCTCGTTCCCACTCTCGCACGACGGGTAGAGGGGACAGCAACACTCGCAAGGGTACACCTGAAGACCGTGCTCTCAATCAGATTCAACTCGAAGCAGACAACGCTTCTCAGTGCCCAGTCCCAGGTGAGAACGCATAGCCTACATCACGAGGGTACGGAAAACTGATCATTTGAGTAGCTCAACTTGGGGCGGCCGACCGTAGCGCTGGCCGTAAGAAATCTAAGGGCCCAGGTAAGTGAACAGCCTCGGTCTTGCCGTTTATTGGACGCCTCACCCGACCGGCAGTCTTAGATACTCCTGATCGCAAGGTCGAGGAGGACAAGGCCACAGAGGAGCAACATCAGCTCACCTATCCAGCTGTGGTCCACAAGGCCTTCGGCAGCTTGGTCTCGGCTCCGGGTTTTCCATACGTTCGCGACATCGATCTGGTGCGTCCCATCCTCTGCTTCTCAGTCTAGGGCAAGCGTAACATAACGTCTACACACAGCTAGTCGAGGATTTCACGGAGGAGGATTGGGAGCAGCTACAGGCAGCGATCAAGGAGGAGCATTCGGACTTATTGTTTGTCAAGTGCGTACGCTAGGGTAGGGGTTGTCGTTCTAATCACTGAAGAGCGTCACTACAGGTACTATTATGACCAAGCAGCACACACTCTCAGCATGACCACGCCGTCCTTCCTTCACGAGGCCCTGGTAAACGCATTCATCGACCTGATCAGGATCCAGACGGGCATCTATATGCCACCCCGCTTCTTGCAACGATTCTTCATGGCGGTCTTACAAACGGCATCCAATCACCCAGTCCCTGGCGAGGTCAAACAACTCACCGTTCCAGACTCCGTCATAAGCCTAGCGACGACGGTCGGAAAGTACCCGATGGGCTTATTAGAGGCGTCGAAGTCTCAGCATTTCAGGAAGGCTTTGCGTAAGGTGAGTACGCGTTGTAGCAGTGCGACATCGGTGTCTATTGTTATGCTAACACTAGGAGTTCCCCAGCTCTACTACGCCGCAAAACGACACCTCAGCGGCCAAGGAGACATCCGGATGTCCTTCCTGTGCTGCCTCAATGCTGAAGAGTACCCGATCTACGGGGCCCCCACCGACAAAAGCTTGAAAGTACAGGAACGCGACCTGGTATACGACGACCAGCGGTACGCGCAGGAGCACTCACTGCACAACGAGGTCATATCCGGCGTAGGGCCTTGGAGCGCGGGAGGTCACGTATTCTGTGGGGCGATAGAGCTGGCCTGGTTCAACGTGGACGTACAGAACACCACGCAGATGGCTCTGTTGAAGAGGGGCATCGATGAGCGTTGGTCCATGTCCAAGTTCATCAAGAAGGGTATAGCCATCGTGGGTCTTCCTCTCGTCTTGAAGCACTGACGCGATCAACTGATTCTATTCACATTAAGCCCATCAAGCGAGAATACAACACCGCCCGGCTTCGAGAACAACGCATCACGTTCCTCGAAGGCTTTCGCGAGGTCCTCGACAAACTGGTTTGCTCGATGGCGGAGGTGATGATGCTCGATCAGGCCAAAGATTTGTGGTGGCCGGCTGTACACGAAGCGTCTGAAGCAGATCAAACCTACTTCAAAGACGTGTTCTGGCCCAGGTTGACGAAGACATCGATTACACTCGAGGACGTCGAGGGTTTCATCGACAACTTGATTGATCACGCTCGAGAGGGTGCGCGTGAGACGGCTCTATACCGTCTCAACGCGTACAATGACGAAGTCATTCCGCTGGATGGCCGTACGTACGTGGCCGGCAACAAACCGGATCCCTTCCCCACGCGCTTCGCCGTGTCCATGAAGGGTCTGACCATGGGGTTGGCCTTGGAAGACAGTCTAAACCGCTATAATCGGAAGCGTGCGCAGAACGCGCTCTCTGCGGCGGGCCACCGGGAGAAAAGCGTTGGAGGCACTGCTAGAAAGGGCCCTCGGCGCCCGCGTGCTAAAGTGGTTGCACCTCGCGGTGACGGGGGCTCAGGCTCGACTGCGCGCATGGCTGACGATGATGAGGAGCGCGGTGAAGGGAGCTCGGCTGTGTACATGGACACGGCAGACGAGGAGCCCGGAGACTAGCTGGGGACACCCTACCTCTCAGCCAGCTCTCCGCCAGATCGTGATTGAAACGCTCGTCATGTCTCCGCGCGGTACGGTACGTTCGTTGTTGTTCCTCCAGTATGTCTATCCTGTCGCTGTCAACATTGCTATCAATTTCGCTATCCTTGCTCTCGAGTTACTCGTGTATCTGTTCCGTACGAATATGTGTTTGTAAATACGCTTGTAACCTCCGCTTCGCAGAATATACACGTCGCGCTTAGCCGCATCAGTAACTTGTGCAATCTGTCTGTCAGGGACTTCAGAAGCCTTCAGAAGCCTTCAGATCGCCTCAGATCGCTTCAGATTTTCAGCCCTCATGACCTGCGATTTTCGCGAGATTTTATCGTCAGACGGATTCCTCAGAGCCGTCAGACCATGTCAGACCGTATGTCAGATGCTCAGCCCACCACTGACCAGACACGAAGCAACATGTTTCATAATGCACACTATGTGATTCTATTGTTCAAAACTATATACTATACATGTATTAAACAGACGTGAACCAACACAAGCGCAGGGGCGAGGCTGTACGGATAATCGGGCGGGCTAGAAAGCTATGGGTGAGTAGGTGAACAAGGATCAGACAAGCGGGCGAGCAGATAAATCGACGAGCAAGTACGTGGGCGGATAGTCGGGCGACTGGGCGGACGCGTGGGCGAGTGGGCAGACGGGCGCATGCACGAGCGGGCGGGCAAACGGGCGCATGGGCGGGCAAACGGGCGGATGGGCGGGCAAACGGGCGCATGGGCGGGCAAACGGGCGCATGGGCGGGCAAATGGGCGCGTGGGCGGGCAGATAGGCGGACGGGCGCGCGGATAAGCAGACGGTCGCGCTGGCAAATCGGCTGGCAGGTGACCAAGCGGCCGCCGAGTGGGTGAGCAGGCGGGTAAGCGGGTGAGCGAGAGCAGATGGGTGAGTGCCCGAGCATGCGAGCAAACGGGGTGGATGTAGATGCTGCGACTGCTCGGTAGGCCGTTATGTGCTGCGCTAGTGCACGTACCGGTGTGCCTGGCAGGCTCCTGCTCGTTGTGGTCCTGCTTGCTGAGCTGGGGCTGGGTCGTGCTGGGCTTGGGTATGTCATATCGGTGTGCGGCGAGCCGGTTCTCATCGTACCGGTACGCATCTGTGTGTGACATGTCGTATCCGTATGCAGCCGGCTCTTGCTGGCTGGTCCGTGCGCGGCATATCGAGGCTCGTCAAGCGCATACTTGTTGGGCTTGCGCTAGCGGGCTTGCGTCGCCTGCGCACGCACGCACCGGACGAGGAGAGGGGTCGTCTTCACCACGCTTGTGTTCATTGTACTGGAGCCGTCTCCGTCGCGTTTGTCTCTGTCCGATCGTCCTTGGTGGGCATTCGCTTGCCGGGGTTTACTACGGGGTCGAAGTTGAAATCCGGCGCACTCACCTGACTCTCTGGCCCTGCTGGCCGCAACCGCCTTTCCTCCCTGCGTGTTAAACCCTCGCGAGTCTCCAGCGATGCTGTTGGCGTGTCGCTGGAGTTCGTTGCGGTCGCGTACAACGTGATCTTTGGGCCATGAAGCGATCCGATGCACACGGGCGGGCGGGCCTGTGTGTAGTGGAGGTCGGCGGCGGGCGAAGCAGACAGGGAGAAGGGGAGTGAAGGCGGACTCGAGCAAGACTCGAGAGGAAGTCCGGCGAGCGCGCGTGACCTGTCGTGGCTGAGGCGCTTAGCTCCTCTCGCGAGTTGCAGCCTCCACATCGACGTCGACTCTGACTCAACCTCAAGACTGCGCGGTAGCGTCAAAACGCACGCAAAATGCGACGGGCAACACGGAGCTGGGGGAGGCGGGGCATAGACGAGATAGTACAGGTGGTGTGACGTCCGCCTGCTTGCGTACGTGTGCCTTCTCCTGCCTACTCGCCCATTCGCCCGCCTACTCGCCAGCCCACTCCCTCCCTCTTACTGGCCCATTTGTCTCCCCACTAACCTCGTTAGTTTGTTCGTTTGCCCACTCTCACCCCTGCTAGCTTTCCCACCCACCTTCTCGCTGGTCCGCCCGCTCGCACATTCTTGCCTGCTCGTCCTTGCTAGATCACGCGCCTGCCCGCTCGCTCTCGTCCGCCCAGTCTTGCCTTTCACTAGCTCTCTCATCCACCCTCTCTCGCCCGTGCGCTTCTGTCTGTCCGCCTGCACACGCACCGTCAGACGGTCATACTAACTTGTTCGCTCGCCCGACCACCCGCTCGCTCGCCCGACCACCTGCCCGCTCGCCCGACCACCTACCCGCTCGCCCGTTTACTGGCTCGTCTATTCACTCGCCCGCCCATCCCGCAAAGCATCGTCTTGCGGCCCTCCATTAAGGAGAGGATCGGCGGGCCCGCCCGATTCTATACACGGTGAGTACATTGCGACTCATTCGTGATATGGCGCTGGCACTTGAATAACAAGCTGACGGAGCGTGGGCGTAGGCGGGAGGCATGTGGACGGCGAGCATGTGGCGGGAAAAGGCGAGCGGATGGCGGGGACGGGCGAGGGCGAGTGCAGACGGGTGAATGCAGATGAAGCATGGTGTGTTCGCCAACCGCGAGCGCACCTGGCGAATGGACAGCTGACAAACAGACAGTGAATGCACAAGGGAACAAGTAGGCGGGTACAGGGCATAACGAAGTGCAGAACGATGCAAGTGAAATGCCGCACCTCGACCTACAAGCAGGGCCCACCCCACGGTACCTCCTACCGCACGCTCACCCAGGCCGATGTCGACGCAGCAACGGCCAAGCGCGGCAAGGAGAACAGGACGCACGTCACCGCGGTCACCGCGGAGAACGACGAGGCTAGCGATGAGGCTCCCGTCACCACTTCGTCAACGATGTACGTCGCTGCCATTACCGACCTCGCCTCCGGCGTGCGACTGTGAGCATGCAGCCGGCATGGCCGACGAACGGGCGGCGGGAGCTGCATATTTCTATATACTTATGTAGCTATTGATAATGATGCAATACCCCAGTGATGGTGTCGGATGGCCGATAACTTGTGCAAGGTAGCCTCGGTGCTACCGTCGAGGGTGTGAGTGATGTACGTCGACAATAAGCATTGGCATGACTGTCTACGAGTCTAAGAGTACAGAGATACTCTCTGACAACTGTCTGTCTCTGAAGGCGCCTGGTAAGTCTGAGCGAACTGAGCTTCTGAGAGGCGGCTGTCAGTTGATCAGATGCTCTGCAAATGCCCAATTTGCTGATGCCCTAGCGATCGGGGGCTTCCGTACGGTTCCGAACCGCATCGACAACCCGCAGGCGGCTGATCGCTTGACCGCTCTTCAACAGGTACGCTCAAGTCATGCGCTTAAGTACCGTAGAGATCGAGGAGCTTCAAGAGCACCTCTCCGGGGTTCCTCTGTTGAGCCCAAATCTAACAGCGCTACGCAGCAGACTTGCGGCCCACCTGGGTGAGCAGAGTTCCGGTCCATCCAACTGCGACAACGTAGAGCAAACTCACGTAGCGACCGGTCTGGGTGAGCGCATAGTTACTTAATGAGTTGTCATTCCAGCTTACAGCCGCTCTTGACCTTTGATAGAGCATGATACGTATGGGCCCATAGACCGAGAGCCCCACAGCGACCTTCACGGATCCATGGATGCGACGGCATCAGCTCAAGGTCAGTGTATAATAAGCTCACATCATCTGTTATGAATCGCTGTCACAGAGCACCTAAGACCTTCTGCCAACTTGAACACTACGTCCCAAAGCGATCTTCCACGCCAAGGTAACAGTTCGCCAAAGCCCATTTAGCTTGGTAAGATGTTCTTAACCCATAGTTCTGTCCCTCAGAACCTAGCGCGTCCGGACCTGTGCGCTCTCAGAGAACCCGTCGGACTCTCGCCAAAACCCCGTATGACCCCAAAAAACGGCCGAGCGCAGATGGTCAGCAGCAACAGCCTGCGTTGGTAATACCTCCCTGCCCTAGGAATGGAATTCCACACGCGCCCGGTTCCAACCAGCCTCAAGCCGCTTGGGAGATGAGATCCAAACCTCACGTTTCAACGGGAACATCGGTGACCAATTTCTTGTCCACCCTGACAGCGTGCGACGTGAAGGAAGACCTGGCTCAATGTGGCAGCATGGTTCTGCAGTCACACCAGGCCTTGTCTCCCCAGCCCAACGAGACTTTACGGGACCTCTCGTACCGATGCCAAGACCTCGACCGCCGGAGAGGGGCCTTAGATTTCAACCTCATGTTGGCTCTCATGAGGTTGAGTTACAAATGTGCAAGGTCAGTGATTGCGGCGTGTCCTATATACTGAACGTCTCAATGACCTGCAAGCTTAGTCTGTCAGGATGGACAAACGTCAACGTCTCTGCGCTCTGGCGGGATCATCTCTCCCAAGAGGAGAAACCTCCTTCTGTTCGAACGCTCCAGTCATGGTATTCCAAAGGTACAAAGCTAGCGAAGCTAGCTGGAGGAGGTGAGCACCTGACATCTCTGCGTGAAACGGTCGAATAACACGCGGGCCAAAGGCACAATTTATATGCTCCTCTGGATGGCTTTCATGAATCTGAGGGCGCCGTTTGTGGAAGCCGATGGCACCATAGCAAGCGACATCGCTGACTTGCTGCGGTGCCCCGACTCAGGTAAGGCTACTCTCCCGAGTTTTGTTCAACGCAATGTCTGAATAAGATCTGCAAACCAAGAGTCATCCATGGGACGTCTCGTCAGACGCGAGATCATTCCGACGATCTCGTTTGTGAGGGAACGGTGCCCCCTCAGACTAGTTGACATGTTCGGCATGGATACTCTCACAGCTTTGGGATTTCCCTTAACCAGTCTTTGCGGTGACCTTGCGGTCTCTGATCAGTTCTTCAGGGTTCTTCCGTCGCAGTAAGTAGCTTAATGCCTATGGACGGCTTTGAAGCGCAACTCACGAAACGCCTCGCAGAACCTTTGCCCCTGTGTCCCGCGATCTTTATGCGTGGGCATCTTGCTATGACATCGCTCCCTTGGCCAATCTATTCCCTCCCGCCGTATCTGAGAGCGAAGAGGGCGACGGCGATCTCTCAGAGCCTTCACCGCTAACCCCACTGTCGCAGTTGCCCGACCTAGCTAGCTGGGATGAAAGATCTGAAGCACCCTCTCCGTTATCCAGTCTCTCGTCCATCACTCCTCAGATACTTCACCGCTCTTCTTCGCCGCCTGCTCATGTCGTTGCCTCCTCGTATAACGATCAAGCGCCCTTGAACCAACGGTTTCAGCCGCCCAGGGATCGTGAAGGCAGCTCAAGTTGGACCGAGCATGAGCGTCATTTGGCTCAGAAAGCCATAGTACCGGCCACGCTCGCGCAGTTGAGGGATCTGGTAAGCGGCCCTGTTATCGTTCTATGCTAACTATTTGGCTCATGCTCGTTGTACCCAGTTGCAAAAGATGTACGATGACGACGGTGTTCGCCGGTCTAGTGCAGAGTATGTCAGAATAGACCGGGATCTCTTCGAGTACGCTAAAGTCCTTTACGTTCACTCTGAGAAACTGACAACATATATTGTAGAGAATCTCTCATGGTCAGATCTGTCAACGGAGACGTGATCGCCTGCATATGCACCTCAATGCCACAGAACATGCGTGACGGACTGATCGACCGCCTCGCTGCGTGTTTCGAGCCAGACGCGCTACAGGATACTGATACCTCTGCGTCTGGAGGTGAAAACCTTTACCAGGCCATCCACTTTGCGTGGTATAACCGCCATTGCACTACTGTAAGTGTAGGCTACTTCCCGCAGAGAACCTGTCATTAATGACCATCAACTGTTTATAGGGACAAGATGCTCCTCAGGACGTCCCGCCAACGATGCTTCAGAGGACCGGTGGCCTACGAACCAACTACAGCCAGTTGATACCATATCCGTCCAAGGACATGACGACCAACCAGTCAATTTATCAGTCGATGAAGAATATATTAGGACCGATGTTCGAATGGGTTGATAACAAGGTAACATGATCCTCCCAGCCCCTGCCTTTGTACGTCGCAAATTGACTATTAACAGGTCAAGGACTTGATGCCCTATGAATACGAGATACTGGCCCAATACGCCAGAATATTACCGGAAAACCATCAACCAATCTCTGCTCCGTTCGTCGGTCTGGCCGTCAACTTGAACATCGTTACCAAAGCCCACCGAGATGGCAACGACAGCGTCATGTGCTTGGTTCTCGTTGTCGGCAACTTCGACGGTGGAGAACTCGTGCTATACGAACCGGGCCTGGTTGTATCCCTGCGTAACGGAGACTTCATTATGTTCCCGTCTTCTAGGTTGACTCACTTCAATCTCCACTACAAGGGTGCTAGGGCGTCTCTAGTTTGGCACTCTGACCGGGAAATGAAGAAATGGCACGAGGGACGCAATGGATGGTCGAGCAACAACCATTTTGTTTGAATGTACTAGAACCTATCTCTAGCATCCGCAAGAAACGCCAGGTCGGTTACGCACGGTGCAGTAGCGATCCGTCCGGAGAGGTTGCAGTGCGCTACTATGCACTATTGATACCAGTGTTGGTTCTGCTTGCTCATTTGTGTCGAAGGTAGCGAATTCTTCGCATTAGATCAAATTAATCATGAATCTGTCTACTAGTACCAACTATCGGAATAGTACAAGTCGTGTGGACGAAGGTAATGATTTATACAGAACTTCTAAGTAGCCGGATCCAGGACGCGCGCCCGGGCCGCGATTCATCGGTGGCTCAGCGCTCAGCGCTCAGTACTTGCTCTTGATGGTCGCGACCTTCAACACCGATGCCTCCCACCTCCTGTTCCGCCGCATCGCGCTCCTCTCTGTGCTGAATGTCCACCGCTAGTCTGCAGCCAGCATGGTCTCCTTTAACTCACACCCCGAGGAGAACCTAGCGCATCCGGTCCACCTCGCCCCCGACCACAGCCACCCGCACGCAAGCAAGCGGGTAGGTGGGCAAGAAGGCGACCGGGCACACGAGCGGGCGGCCGAGCGGGTGTGAGGGCTGCTGAGCGGGCGCCCAAACGGGCGAGTGGACGGCGCGAGCGGGTAAGTGAACAAACAAACAGATGAGCGGATGAGCTGACAAGAAGGTGAGCGGGCAGGTGGGCGGACCGGCAGACGACATTACAGCAGGCGACACCACACACCCACCGCGAGCGTGCGTAAACGGCCGACGAACACGCAGGCAAACGGCGGGCGGGCGGACCCACGAACAGGGAACGCCATGCACGTCGACCGCGAGCGTCCAGGGCGAATGCCCTGCATGCAAGCGCAGCCGACGAACGGGACGCGTGCGAGCTCATGACCGCGAGGAGGACGGTGAGGACTGCAGGTGCGGGCAACGAGCTCGATGAGCTGACGAGAAGACGAGTGGGCGGGTGGGCAGACCGGCGGACGACGTGACAGGCAGGTGATACCGCACACTCACTGCGAGTGCGCTGGGCTAATGCGCAGTACGCAGACGCGGTGGGCGAACGCAGACGCAGGCACGTACGCGGGCGGGAGACCGGGCAGGCAAGCGGTATCGCGAGCGGATGGGCGGGCAAGTGCGAGGGTGCGTAGGCGGGCGGACGGGCAGGAGAGAGGGCAGACGAGCGGATGGACGAGCAGGCGGGCAGATAAGCAGACGAGAGGGGGTCGGCGTGCAGGCGGGCGGTGCGTGAGCAAGCAAACAGATGAGCGGATGAGCTGACAAGAAGGTGATCGGGCAGGTGGGCGGACCGGCAGACGACATTACAGCAGGCGACACCACACGCCCACCGCGAGAGCGCGTACACGGCCGACGAACACGCAGGCAAACGGCGGGCGGGCGGACCCACGAACAGGGAACGCCATGCACGTCGACCGCGAGCGTCCAGGGCGAATGCCCTGCATGCAAGCGCAGCCGACGAACGGGACTCGTGCGAGCTCATGACCGCGAGGAGGACGGTGAGGACTGCAGGTGCGGGCAACGAGCTCGATGAGCTGACGAGAAGACGAGTGGGCGGGTGGGCAGACCGGCGGACGACGTGACAGGCAGGTGATACCGCACACTCACTGCGAGTGCGCTGGGCTAATGCGCAGTACGCAGACGCGGTGGGCGAACGCAGACGCAGGCACGTACGCGGGCGGGAGACCGGGCAGGCAAGCGGTATCGCGAGCGGATGGGCGGGCAAGTGCGAGGGTGCGTAGGCGGGCGGACGGGCAGGAGAGAGGGCAGACGAGCGGATGGACGAGCAGGCGGGCAGATAAGCAGACGAGAGGGGGTCGGCGTGCAGGCGGGCGGTGCGTGAGCAAGCAAACAGATGAGCGGATGAGCTGACAAGAAGGTGATCGGGCAGGTGGGCGGACCGGCAGACGACATTACAGCAGGCGACACCACACGCCCACCGCGAGAGCGCGTACACGGCCGACGAACACGCAGGCAAACGGCGGGCGGGCGGACCCACGAACAGGGAACGCCATGCACGTCGACCGCGAGCGTCCAGGGCGAATGCCCTGCATGCAAGCGCAGCCGACGAACGGGACTCGTGCGAGCTCATGACCGCGAGGAGGACGGTGAGGACTGCAGGTGCGGGCAACGAGCTCGATGAGCTGACGAGAAGACGAGTGGGCGGGTGGGCAGACCGGCGGACGACGTGACAGGCAGGTGATACCGCACACTCACTGCGAGTGCGCTGGGCTAATGCGCAGTACGCAGACGCGGTGGGCGAACGCAGACGCAGGCACGTACGCGGCGGGAGACCGGGCAGGCAAGCGGTATCGCGAGCGGATGGGCGGGCAAGTGCGAGGGTGCGTAGGCGGGCGGACGGGCAGGAGAGAGGGCAGACGAGCGGATGGACGAGCAGGCGGGCAGATAAGCAGACGAGAGGGGGCCGGCGTGCAGGCGTGTCCACACGTCGACGGCGAGCACGCGGGGCAAATGCCCCGCGTGCAAACGCAGCCGACGAAGGGCCAGTTGTTTATCTGTAGTAGACTGTTTTTACGAAGAATATACATCCTACGATCCTGCACCATCACACGCCGCTTGTCACCGCGCTCCTAGCCCTTGCAAGCACCTCCGTTACGCTGTGGTGGAGGGCGATGATGAGCGTTCAGCGCTCTGGTTGCGCGATCGCTCTTCATCCTTGCACTGTCTTTTCTTGATCTTGGGGTCGTTAGGTCAGCTGGAGCGGACCGTTTGGTAGACCCTGAAGAGCGAGAACTGGACGGAGGCTGGTGAGATCCCTTAGGCTTGTTGACAGGCTTCTGGCAGAGTACGACTTAGCACCGCTGCTTAATTCGTGTCCATGATGAGCAAACATACTCACTTTCTTAGATTTTCTAGTGCTCTTTCTCTTGCCCTGCTTGGCCGAAGACAAACTGGACGCAGTAGTCAGGGCTTGCTCTGACTTGTCTTCGTCGTCCGAAGAGACGAGGTCAATGACGACCCGTTTCTTGACGTGTGGCGGCGGAGAGCGATCAGAGTAGTCCTTAGTGTTGAGATACCCGCATAAACCAGACCGTCTTCGTCGAGCTTGGCCTGGTGGACCAAGCTCTTCCCGATGTCTACGCGGTGGAACCCGACGTATTGGACATCCTTGTCTTCGGGGCAAGGGCTGTTCTTGGTTTGCATACCCTGTATGACAGGTATCTGTAAGAGGGAAGGATGCGAGACGAAAAAAATTGACCAACCGGGTGCGGCTTTGCACAAGTTGTTGTTCGAGCAAGGTACAGACTGTGTTGCGAGACGCGTACAACTCTTGGGATGCAGTATCGTGCAGAGGCGTTCGGATCTGGATTACAAGCCCGACAAGGAGAATTAAGTACTTACAAGTACTTAGCTAAACTGCCGCCCAAGCGCCGGACAACCCTGCGCGCGGTACAGACCGCCATCTCCTTCCTCTCCTGGGCCTCAACTTCCACCCGAGACCCCTCCATTCGATTCTACTGCTTCCTCTCTCGGATCCGGCGACCTCAAACCAGATTTCCACGGCCCTGGTGACATGCAACAAAGCCGCGCAGCCCAGCACTCGCACGACGCGAGTGCAAGTCCAGCGTCGAACATCAAGGTTTGCACTCAATGCAGAGAACGTGGCGCGAGTGAAGCAGAAGGAGGAATAGGAGAAGGGGAGGAAGAGAGAGGAGGGGGAATGGTGTCGGGCGTGCAGGGAAAACGAGCACGAAGGCTCGAAAACTGCAGGTACGCCCTCACTAGGCCTCACTGGTCGTCCCCGCATCGCTGTTTCCGCTCCCAGTGCCCGCGCCAGCAGGCGTATCGACGAACGCGAAGCTCGTCATGCGTCCTGCTGGCCACGAATACGGCATGCCTGTCTCTCGGGACGCCCTCCATGTCGTACCCACTACCTTGCACAGCACATGACGCACAGAGCTGTGCGTCCGGCGTGCCCTTTTCCTTTTTACTGCCCGCGCCAGCAGGGAACGAGTACGAAGCCCGTGTGTATGCTGTCCTGACCACAGGAGCGGCGTTATCGCCTTCCGGGACGACTTATACGTCGTACTGGACATGCCGCAGGGCAACACGTCTGTGGCGCAACGCTGCACATCTGACGTGCGCCATTCTTCTACAAACAGCCGCACAGAGGGTGTGTCGAGCAGTATGCTTGACCTACACACTATCGAAGAGAACAACACAGCACCCGGTGTACTCACAAACGTACCCGGCGCTCTCGTCGACCCCTCATGCGCGCGCGACGGTACCGGGGTGCACTCCATGATGGTGGACCCGGTTCGAACTTCAATGGCTACAGGACAAGCGTTGGGAGGCAGCCCAACGAACAATGGGTTCGTTGCGTGCTTCTCTAACATTCACAGCGAGGTATTGAGCCCATCCGGCAGTGCGGCCATAGCGTCTGCTCGCGAAACGGCGCGTCTGGGGAGCCTCCAAGCTCCACCAGGCGGCCTTCCTGTTTACCTCTACCACTGCAAGCGGCGGATACATCGAGCTCGTCGCTCGATGTATCCCCCTTTGCTTTCTCTTGTGATGCGCGACGCGCACCGGTCCGTGCTCGCCGCCATCCACCACACCTCTACGTGGTGCAGTGACGCACTGGGAGAACGTAATAGTTCTACCTGGTCGTCTTCTTCATTCTCTACACCGTGTCGCGTTAAACGTACGTCGAGCCCACCACCGACGTACACGTAGCTGATCTTTGGGACACGTGCGACGCACATTCTAGCGTGCTCGC